GCCCTCTACTGGACGGCGGAAAGGTCGTTCACATTGTTGATGGTTTCACAAATATTCGAAATACAAACGGCACCTTCGACAAGTTTGCAGGTGACACCAAAGTGTGGGGGGTAGTTGCTGTGCTGGAGGGCAAGGCTGCCATTCAGAGGCTACTTGTTAAAACGAAGTAACAGGCCAGCAGGAAGCTCGTGGAGTTCAACAAAGATAAATACCCAGTCCTGAGTCTGGGATAGAAAAACCTTTTCATGTCATTACAGGCTAGGGAAAGGTTGGCTGGGGAGCCTCTCTGCAGAAAAGAGTCTGCTAGCTGAACATAAGCCAGCAGTGTCCCCTTATAGCAATGAAGGTCAACCACACGCTAGACTGTATTAGCAATACTGTAGGCAGTACATGAAGAGAAATTATAATTTCCTTCAATTTCAGAGGGGTTACGCTGCATATAAGAGACTGCATCCAGGGTTGGGCCCCCCAGAGCAGGAGAGCTACAGGCTAACTCGAGCTTGTCAAACAGAGGGCCACTAAGATGGACAACATTGAGGAGAGACTGAGGGAGCTGGGTTTGTTCATCGTGGAGATAGCTAAGAGGGAGGGGGAGAAGGGGAGGGAAAAGCACAGGTCTAATTGCAGTGTCTAACTACCTTAATCAAGGTCATAGAGAAGATAGAGCCAGACTCTTCTCAGAGGTACCAAGGACAAAAAGCAACAACTTTCAAATACTGCAATGAGGATGGGTCAGCAGTAGAATAGGTTGTCAAATAGGCTGTGAAATCTTCAATCTTCTAGCTTTTCAAAACTCAGTTGAACCAGACTCTGAGCAAGCTGATCTAGTTTTGATGTTGGCACTGCTTTGAGCAAGAGGAGAGTACAGCCTTTTTAATTGACAACTCTTTAAAATTTGTATTTTGTTAATTAACATGTGAACTTTCTGTATCTGATCATAAACCTGTTCAGTGATGTTACTGCATGCTAGAGCTGTACAGCCATCAAAATTGCATCACTATCATCTTCTTCAAGCATTAGCCAAAACAGATACTGGAGGTGAACAACTATTCAATAAATGTGACTGTCGTCCTTCAGGGGTTTTTTGTGTGAACCAGCTCTATCTGTATTTTCAGTGCTTGCTGAGACCTGAATGCTGCTTGCAAACACACTTAATTTGTCATATAGTGATGAGCTGTTCTAACTAATTCAACAAATTGTACTTGCAAGTAGCAAAGAGCTAAAGCTGCATCTCTTATTTCTGCTGAAAAATAATTTTTAAAGGCTGACCTTAGGAAACACAAGAAAATTAACACTGTAAAATTAATTTTTTAATTATTTTCTCAGCTGAAATATATGAGGTTTGGAGGATTTGAATTTTGCTAAAATAAACTTACAAGCTCTCAGTCTGCAGGGGAAAACGAATTTGCCTTTCATAACACCTGGAAAACAACTGTCTTCCCAAGACATACCTTCTACCAAATAATTTTAACCTTGACCTATTTGGAATATATACACAGCAAGGGCACAACCATACCGTAGTCATGATATCTCTGTGTATTAGTTAAAAGTTTTTGGATGACAACCTGCCACCAAGCAGCCACAGCAGCTCAGAATTCAGTGTAAACTCATACCACTGCCAGCTAATTTAGAGCTAGCTCGGGTGTCTCACCACTACAGACTGCAGGGTAAACCTGCTTCAACAAAGACCCTTTTAGCTTTCTCTGCACACAAGAGACCCCTATGAACCATTCTGCTTCTTAATCTGCTGTCTCTTGAAGCATGTATGATCTTTGCATTTATAGTTAGGAAGATGCAACTTCTCATCTGCTCCTTGTGATCTCAGAGTCAAGTTGCTGCAGGTTCAAGGCCAGCATTCTCCAAAAAAAATAAAAAAGTAGCATGGCATTTTTTCAGAAGAGACCTCTTGAGGTATACAGTGTAACCTCTTACTTAGAGATGGACCTTCACAAACACTAAATCAGATCAGCTAAAGCTCTTAAGTAGATTATTTCCCATTAATATGGCAGAGTAACCAGCATTAGGGCCCAAGTCTTTGCCCATCTTCTGATTTTAAGTCTGTAAGATCAGAGGTCATGTCTCCAGAACTGCTGTAAGAACATTGTATCTGGGTGACCTTCATCCAAACCCTGGGGAAAAGACCACAAAGTATTTTTCCGCCTGAACATCCCCTGTGCACCCACGGCATTTTTCCATAATTTGCCCTTTGGAGTCACCAAGTTTACTGAAAAAGAAATGCTAACCAAATACACTTACTCCATTTGGCTTCTTCTGTAAGTGGGATTGCCAAGGAAAATTGTTATGAATTAAAGCTTTCTCTACCTCATAAGTTTCTTTTGAAGTTAACTATAAATATTGACTCCCAGTCTATTTTCATATGATGCCATATGATGCCATATTATGCCATATACACACTTTATTTGAAAACTGATTATTTCCATTACAGACCAGATCATCAGTTTAGTGTTTTGGTTCCAGTCTTTAAAAAGTGTAACATCACCTCTTGCTCTTTTCTTCTTTAGACTATGTAGTGTTCTTAAGCTTTCCCCATTTGGAAATTTCCTTTTCCCAAAAGTCTGAGGCATTTTAATTCCACCCTCCAGTAACAAAACTCTGACGCATGTTTCTTCTTCAGAAAAAATGTAATCAGAACATGGTATGATGAACACAAATTCTTAGTTGCATTTTTAGTTCACATGCTGCCATACAGGAAGGTATCTTAGTCTATGAATTGGGGCAGTCGTTCAGCTACTGTTGCTTTTTTGCATTACCTGTGGCAGATAAATTTGTAATAATAAATAGAGGAATTATAATCTGAAAATTTAACACTAAGTGGTCAGAGTTTTTCCACAGCTACTTACCCTAGTGGAGTGATATACATTGAAACTTACTCAAATGAACAAACAACTTTAAGAAACAGGAGTAACTTACTATAGGGCTAATAAAAGATCATTTTGCAACTTTAAGAACACTTCTCAGTGCCAGGAAGCAAATATAATTTCTACCATTTTATTTTTTGTGTCAGTTCTTTAATATTTCCTATGCTCTATGTAATATTATCCTTTCCTATGAAACTCTATAAAATATTTTTGTATTAATAGCATATTGATTATGTTATGTAGAAACAGCAAACATTCCAATCCGTGACTAGAAAGTCATGGGGAGAAAACCCTAAGAATACACCTATTAAGTATGTCATTTCACATTAAAAGAAGCTCAGAGGACAGTCACATAGTTTACTAAACATAAGGCATTTGAACTTCCCCACCTTTGTGGTTCATCTTCACAAAAACATTTATGAATCTGCTATCTTTGGAAAGAAGGAGGAACAGCAACAAAAAAATCTTCAGAACAACTCCTGCTATTTGTTTCCCCGGGCTAGACTATGAGACAAACATGAAGAAACTCAACATGAAGCTGAGCTGAGGTGCTGCAGTGGTGGGCACGGTTCACATTCCAAACCATACAGATCAGATTACAGATTGGGCATTATCTAAAGTATTGTGGGAAGAATGTATATTCTGGCAACTTCTGCCTTCTGTTGCAATTCTGAGAAAGCATAACAATATTAAGGTACTAGGAGTACCTCTGCCACAGCTACATTTTCAGAACATGTTCACTTGCATTATAAACAGGGAATGTCATTTGTTGGCAGTATCAATGTATTCCCATTTTGGAAGGAATATCTGTAAAAGGGAGGGCCCCAGGTTTAAAAGAGCTTTATCCGATAGATAAGAGAAGGTCAAGCACATTACAGAAGATGTACATAATACAAAGCATCTAAGATCACATCTTGGAGCCTGCAGCCATTACTTGTCCAGTCTATCCTGCAACACAGCCCTCTCAGCCCAAATGCTTCACAGTGGGACACAAATACTTCTCTCTCCCTCTCCAGACAACTCTGTTTACACAATTCAAATAATTTACCAAGAAATAACATTTAAACATTCAATTTTGGGTTGACTGGCTTTGTTTCAGCAAACTAAAAGCAAAAAAAAAAAGCACTCAGACTTCTAGAGTACTGTATTGTCTAACTACCTATGTCAGACACCCTGAAGACTATTTGTAATACTCCCATTTAGCTAATACACATACAGATACTATTTAAGCAAAATCTTGGCTCCAAATGAAGCCATTGCTCTTTTGCAATCGATTTCTTTTCAAAATGTGTATACAGTCACATTTAAAGGGGAAGTGTGGTCTCTTAGTCTATTCCACTACAGCAAGTCAGTATTGCAAAGCCAGGCTTATAAATACTAAAGGAAGAACAGTGAGACTGAAGAGACTGAACTTCCCTGAACAGAGAGAAACTGGAAGGCTATCTCTCCCATGGGAAATTCAGAAGTGAAACTCACTGAGGTTAACATACAGTATTCCATGGCTATTTAGAAAACACGATTAGAATAATAAGAATGAAATAAGACTCATTTTCTTAATAATAATATTTAATTGTTTAAACACAGAATTATTTATTTAGTTCTTTCTTTTAATATTAAATATTCTTCCTTGCTGGTAAGAGTGACTGAAATATATTGTATGACACAGATTGTGCAGCTTCAGGGGCAGTTCATAGTTAACACCTCTGACAGCAGTGAAGTATCACAGTCTTTCTGACAAATTACCTAATTATCTTGGATCTCCATCTTATCATTGTACTGCCCTCATTTACCCCAAACCAAATTACAGCCTGGAAGGGGACTGCAGCAGTGATTTGTGTACCTTATCTAATGAATAGTTACATCATGTGGTCAACTCTGGAACAGGTTCAAGAGAAATTAAGACAGAACCTTGTATAATTGCCCATTCATAAAGAAAACATGTCAGAACATCACTGATGTTTTGCCTGGGGAGAAGGGATTCAAGGCGCTGACAATGCACCTAGTAACTTTTGCACTCCCATGGTAGCTATACCATTTTTCTTCTCTATACTTTCAATAAGGGCATGGAGAGCTGCCTCACATGCTCATTTGTAGAAACCCTGGGCATATGCAGCCTCCACCCATTTGGAGGCCTCCTTCTATTGCCATAATGATATATATAAATTTATTAAAAGATAATGACCAATTATATTTATTAATTTAATTAAATAATAATGAAATTCTATCTTTTCCCACATAGGCCTTAGATCACTTCACAAATGAAGAAAAACATTAATATCTACATCATAAAAGCTGAATAAAAAACAGAGGGATGGATATAGGCAAATTCCATGGGAAATGAACATAACTTGCATTGTGCAAACACTACAATGCCTTCTGCAGAAAGACCTTTGAAGCCTACAATGCATATTGGACTAAGTCCCTGAATTTTGTCAGCTTTTAAAAAACTTGCTTCATAGATTTCATTAGAAAAAAAAGAACCCTGAAAATACTTAGCAAGCTTATTCAGAGAGCAGAAGGCAAACAAAATTTCCCATACTGTGTTTCTTATAATCTTAAAGATATTTTATTAATTTTCTTAAGAACTTACTTGAGAACTGTGACTTTATGAACTAGTGAGTATAAGAAGCTGAAACTCTTCTGAAGCCATTTATGTTTTATCTTGTGGCTGAATTTGGCCAGGGTAGTCTAAAGTAAATTAGAGAAAAAATGTGAGAATGCTTTAAAACAAACATGATAAGACCATTGTAAAGGAGATTCCAAGGTTTACTGAATACATAGGGAGGTGATTCATGATTGCCATAAAGATATTTGGATAAATGATGTGAGGCTTGCCAGGCCAGACAGAAGGGTGCTTCAACAGTTAAAGCTATGCTGACTCCTCTGCTGATGATGAAGGCATCAGGTTCTTCATGCATCTATAAGAAGGGGCCTGGCAGTGGAGTAGTTTGATGTAGGAGCTCCCAGCTGTGAACTTACTCTTTCATCTGAATTCACTTTCTTCAACATTATAAGCAGGTGCTTATCTCACTTAAGTCTAGATATTTAAAAATTAGTTAAGTCTGAGTTAGTGTATAAAGTAATTTATCCTGTCCTACTACAGCTGTTTGAGCTGGTTGGGAAGGATTGCCTACTGGAGGTGACTATTTCTCTTGCAGTTTTAATAGTTTTAATACAGGTTTGAACAATTAACAATTCAACATCTAAATTTCAGTGTGATGGCTTAGGGCCCCAGAACCCACCATTTGCTTTAAACATGTAAATTCCTAAGTCCAATTATCTGAATATCTTTTGAACATATTCTACATCCCCAAGTCACTTTTGACTTACCATCTTCTATAACCTCCAAACTACTTTTCTTCAGCACACATTACAAATGTTATGTAACTTTCAAAGTTGTTGCCAGTATAAGAGGCAGACCCAAGTTTGAAGCTGTGTAGAGTCTGATTTCTTTTTCCAAAATTCACACTATTCAACTTGCGTATGCTTTCACTCTTATTATTTTAAATAATTAATAGCAATCAAGACAAGAGCAGATAAAAACGGAAATGGCACAAGCAGAGAATGAGAAGAGAAAATGGCAATACAGCCCATGCTTCAGTGGAATTCCAATTCACTCTGGTTTTTTAATAATCATCAGCCCTTGTCACCATCATTCCCAGCTCAGGAGCTTTTCATTTCTTGTTACTGTGTCATGGTGAGATAGATGAAACCTCTGGGATAAGATATTATCTTTATCTCTTGCATGGGATACCACCTGACTGCTGGTATCTGCTGTTAGAAGAAGAACCAAGATATCTTCATAGATCTTCATTTTCAGGATCCAATATTAGAGGTGAAAAATGGTTGCATTTTGAAACCCCAGAGAGGTTTCTGCTCTTTATCACCCCTCTTTCTAGATTTTCTATGTACTGATGACCTTAGAAGCTGTGAATTCTTCTTGAGAAAGCAAAGAGGGAGAGTGCCTTGCTGTGTAATGCATGTGACAGTCATGAAAGACAGATTCCAGCAGACTACTTACTGTTCTGATAATAAGCATGACAGAAAAATGAAAAGAACTGTCTGCCAGAGGGGAACTAGTTTCTCAGAATTTGTAGTACTCTTTTTGACTCCCTGCAACACCAGATCAGTAGCCATAATACAGAAATGTCTGCAGTCACTTCACCACACACCTCCACTCACAACTGTTTGTGGTCTGATCTGCAGCAGTTCATTCATCTCAAACCCAGAACTTCCAACATCTATAATTTCTGTCCTGCAGCTGCCCAGTCATTCCCACCCTATGGTCGCTAAAAACCTCTGCCAATTCCCTCTGTCCTGCCCTGCATCTCTCCCCTTATTTCTGTTCTGGGCTCTTCACACAGTTCTACTTGTGCCATTCACCTCTACCCTATTCCCTCGCTTTTGTAGTTCTGGGCATTCCCAAGGGGATCTGCTCTCAGTCATGTTCTGGAGTCCCCCATCACAGGCTGGAGTATCCAAGTTATCCATCTCTCTGTCAGTTTTCTGATCATGGCATCAAAATCAGCCAGTGGGTGTGCCTTTAGTTGCCTGGCACTATCCTGTTCTCTGAGGAATACAGCCTTGGGGTAGGATGCAGAAATTCACTGATTATGATCTTTCGGTCCATTTCCTTTCTTCCCTCCATTGGCTCCTTTTTGCCTCAAGGCCCTCACTGCTCCATCTTGGGAATGACTTTACAGCCTCCTCCACCTCCTCATTACAAATTGAATGGGGTTTTGACCTCACATAGGAGAGTCATCTGATGCAGACAGTGATAACCTTCCTGGTGCTGCCAATTGTCCTGTGCTTCACTGGACCGGAGAGCTGCTTTACTAGATTTCATGCACCAGCTCTTTCAGTCTGAGGAGGGAGAAAGCATACATTAACTACTTTGCCTTATCCCCCTCCCCCAGCCCAATCTGAGAGCAGTGGCCGATGTGCTGTACTGGCCTGGATATTTTGATTGTCTTTGCACCTCACACTGGGTCATGTTACAGAATCAGCTGAGAGAGGAAAACATGAAATATTGAGTCAAAATCCCTAGAAAGAGAAATTATTGTTTCAATGTATTCATCTCTCCTCATAGGCTGCTCATTCCCCCTCCACTCTTGGATCCACTGTCTGGACAGAGGAATCCATATCCACTGCTCTTTTCTACCTTGGAGCCTGGATTTCAGAGGAGTCTAAGGGCAGTCCTTTGGACTAGACTAAGAATCCACTCCACTGGCTACAGAAATGCACCTATATCTCTTGGTCTGGTTAGAAAAGCACAGCCTTAGGCAAGAATCTGTTGCCCACTGCAGTCAGTGTGACAATAAGCAGAAATGACCATGAGGATTCCAGAAAAGGACAAAGCCATGTGGAGTGGGATTTCTGAATGGAAGTCAGTCCTCTTCAGAAGCAGGAAGTTATGTTAACCTACTAGTGTGCAGGCCAGGGGACCCCAAGCACAAAAAGATTTAGTTCAAAATATGTCCATCTTAGGCACGATATCCAACAACTTTTTAAACAAATCAGTTTAATTAATCTATTGAAGATAGATTTGTATGATGTAGAGCAATCTTTGCCTCCACATGGAGTGGCAGTCTAACAAAGTGTGATTTAATTCTGGGAACAGAAATGAAGTGGAAAAAATAATATTATTTTTATTCTTTCAACCTTTTTTTCTCTATCTTTCTTGTGCTTAATGCATGCAAACTGAAATTTTTACACCTATTTGCACCCACACATGCAAAACACTGTAACAGGGAACACTGAGAGAAATACACATGCAAGGTCTGAAATGGACAGCTGAATATCCTGCTACTGTCAGCCACACTGAGTAAAACCCCATTTGCTAGGCAATCTGGTTCTGTTCTCCATCATTCTCCTTTTTTAAAAAAAGAATTTTGCATTTTGATTTTATGAACTCTTCAGCCATGGAACTGTGTTTAAGGAGCACTGATATTACCTTAAATCTTACTCATTTCACATTCATCTTAGTATATCCCTTTCCTATTTTCATTACACATATTCTTTGCTGGTCAACATATATAACCACAAATGAAGGAAAAGAAGAGTCAGAACTCTCTGAGGTCAAGTAAGGCTTGCATAGTCACTCTGTCTCTTTTTAAGGCCATTGAATTTGTATTGTCTGGTACTCAGTGTTTCTGCTGCCTAGCCACAGACTAGCATTTGTGTGACAGCACAGTTAACCGGATCCAAAACTTACCCATTGGAAAAGTGACCTAATAAAACCTGTATTTTAAATGGTTTTGTCACCTAATATGCCTCCTTAACTGAGCCACACCAATGCTAGTGTCAGCACGGGAAAATATGTAGGTGCAAGTGTCCTGTGGTAGGATCCCTTGCTGAGGCAGGAACCTGGACTTATGCCAGAATGAACATGTCATCATGACCTCAGTAGTAGGACGAATTTCCACATCTGGCATCTATTTACTTACCTACATTGGTTAAATAAAGAATTTCAGAGGTGCAGGTGAGGACCTGAAAGTATTCCACATTCCCTGTGAGGAATGCACAACACCTTTGATATACAATCTTACAATGAATTGGGTACAGATTCCTTTAGATCCAGAGATCTCTGTAGGAAGCATGCCCCTTGAAGTTGCTTTACTAGTAGCACTGCAGGACAAAAAATTTAACGTTCCTGTCCCGCTACCTCTTACTCTGTCTGATGCATTCTGTCTTCAGATCTGTTGAAGCTTCTGTCCTTCTCCTGTGTTAGACTGTGCAGCTGTGATAACTGGCATATTGATCTCACTCCTTATTACATATCATTCAGTAGGAGACAATATATAAGAAATTTAGACAGCCATGTAATACTCAACCATTCATCTTAATGAATGTTTCCGAAAAATTGATCTTCTAAGTTCCTGAAGTCTGGTTGTAATCAGCACTCTCAGGGCTGAGTGTAAAATCTTTTGAAAACTAGCTGGGAAAAAATCCTTTAATGTTTTGGATAGCAAGCTGAAGATGACCCAAGACCACTACCTGGTATAGAAATTTCAGTGTCTATAAATCAGAGTGTATATATCCTCGCATGTACTTACTTCTGAAGTGACTTTCATAGGCCTGGGATAATAATTATCTTGATTTGACAACCTAAATTTCTGACCCGCCTGAATTCCAGACAGGGTTTTGGGCATTTCAGAAAAAATGTGAAGGTCTTGAATAGAAAGACCATTACTAATAGTAGGAAAGGAAAAAGCACGAAGGAAAAGGGAAAGGCAATGGTAACATAAAACTCTGTGTAAATTCAGGAGGTGTGGAAGATACTTGGTACAGCAAATGATAGTTGGGCTTAAATGTGAGTTTAAAGTTGTCTCCCACACTAAATGGTGGAAAGTCATAATCAGATTGCTAAAATGTAGTCTGGACAGAGACTCAATTAGAGTGGGCAGTTTGGTCTGGCAAAATGAATGGCAGAGGTTGATAAGACATGAGGGGTTTTTTTTCCCCTGTAGAGTAAGTCCTTTGTAAGATAAGCTGTTTCTGCATTGATGTTGTTAGATCACCATCTAGAGGACATTTAAAAACACAGGCTTATCATTCTACTGTTGTTTTTTTAAAAATTTATTTCTATTCACAGAAACTGTGCAAGCCAAACAGCACAAAATACTAACAATTTTTTAAGCACTGAAGCGGGAAAGTCATTATATTTTCCTTTCCCCTCCACTCTCAC